TTCTGACTTGGGACAGAGAGGAAGAGAATGAGACACTGACAGAAGAGTGGTGTTGATCCAACTCACACACACACACACACACACACACACACCAATGGCGGTGCTGTCCCTGCAAGGCGTTGCTCTGGCCATCAGGAGCAACTTGGGGTTCGGTGTCTTGCCCAAAGACACTTCCACATGTGGACTGGGAAGAATGGGAATCGAGTCGCCAACCTTCCGGTAAGGTAATGAATGTTTCCAGCCACCCCAAAACTGAGAAGCAAAGAATTCATGCCTAAAGGGATAGCAGACAATAAAGCTGCGCGCTGGCTGAAACCCAGATCAGAGCAGAAAACCCAGGCTGACCAGAAGGGAGATATTCTTTCTTTCAGTCGTTGCTGTACTGTGAGAAATAAACTGAACTGAACAAGCAGGCAAGTACAATTTTGTCCCCTTTTCAGAAAAAAGGTGGAAAAATCATCTCATTACTTTAAAAGTGGTTTTTAACCAATTGTGACCCAGGGACCACCATTCTGACTAAGAAGTACCCTGAGGACCACTGTTGCGACTGGGCACTATTTTAATCCTGCAAGTCACCTTGACTTTTATACATTTCATATATTTGCATGAATTTGATTATTCTCAAGCAATATGTAATACATGGAAATGAGCTTTTAAAATACTGTGCTGAAACTACATTATTTGAATGCATGATCAGGAACCACCTGCAATGCTTTCACAGACCACCAAGGGGCTGCTGGTTGAAAACCCCAGATCTTTGAAGATGTTCTCTATTCTTCCCATTTATTTTCTACTGAATGTCTTTCTCATCTTCCTGCTTTATCACCTTTTGCTTTTCCCTCTTGACAAATTCAGATGCCCACAGTCAATGCAGAGGCATTTGAATGACATTAACTAGGGGCTGTACCTAATTTGGTATAAATCTTTGTGTCAGCCATCCTAATACTGTTCACTTTACTTGTGTAATTCCCATATTAGAGTTACTTCAACATTACATTAGCTTAACTACCAGCACAAGTTCCTATTGTTAATCACCCAGATTAGATGATCCTGTTGCTCCCATGAATTTCTCAGTCAAAAGCGCCTGTGGTAATGACGCTCCTCCAGCAGTGGTGCTTCTAGCCTTTTCACCATTTGGAGGAGAGTATCAGCAAAAATCACCAAGGCAGACAGCAGAGGACGAGTTTTAGAGAAATCCCATCACAAACTGAAGGTGTGAGTGTGTGACACACTGAGCACAAGAGCAAGAGAGGGAGAAAGAGAGACAACGTGTTAATATCAAGTAACAACAGAGGCGATGCTGAGGAAACATAGCTGGACTAATGTATAATCTGCTTATCTGTCTGTTTTTGACTCCAATCTCTCTCTCAGTCTCTGTCACAGATGTGCCATAAGACTCACTATCAAAGAGATAAATAACAATGAGTTACACCTTGAAATTATGTCATTGAATTTTATTTCCTCTTTTAAACCTTATATTTACAATTTGACTTCATATGATGAAAAGGCTAAATAACAAGGCCAAAATAATGTACAGCATGTGAACGGTGGCTTTAACCTCAACTAGTCATGAATGCACTGAAAGAGTAAAAATGCTTAACCTTGTCAGCATGCAAGCTTTTTATTCGCTGGCTTATGTAAAAGAACAAGTGACATACTGTATGGACATCTTACCTGTCTTTTCTTTGACCTCACACAGGATGCTGAAGATAGCAGACTTCATTCTGTGCCAGTTCAAAGCATGTTTCCTTTTATGGAGGAGAAAGCCAGAGAGACAGACTGTGAATTACAACAGGCCCTGAGCACACAGCTGTGCAAGGAGAGGGTCAGTTGTGTGCACTAAAAATCATCATCTACTAATCAATCATCATATACTCCGCACACTTAACAATTTAGTACACAGTATTTTTTTCTCAGGTCTCTATTTAATAATTGATTAAGAAAACAGCTGTCAGACTAATGCAGCCCCACAGACAACACATGAACAGTAAGAAGCACAAGGACAATTCTAGCTGGGTGTTCATCTTCCTCCTACAGAGATATTGTTACTATGTCTTGTACATAAGTGTCTTTGATACAATACACAGTTAGGGGGTTTGTACTGACAACAAACATGACATCATCTTGTTGTACTATCCTGATATTGCAGTATCTCATATTGTTTCCTAGCAGTAATATAGATTAGATCTTTGACGATACTGTTAGTTACTATAAGGCTAATAGCAGTTTTCTTTAGGATGTAGCTAAGTAACTTAGCAAAATGCATCCAATCTGTTGACACCCTCCTGAGTCAGCAGAGTTTTGGCTAGAATTTGATCTCTGTTCCCCTCCTTGAACCACCACCTTATTGTGGCGGAGGGGTTTGAGTACCCAAGTGATCCTAGGAGCTATGTTGTCGGGGGCTATATGTCCCTGGTAGGGTCTCCCAAGGCAAACAGGTCCTGGGTGACGGGTCAGACTAAGAGTGGTTCAAAAGCCCTTTATGAATAGAATAAAATCAAGGACTGTGACGTCGCCCGGCATGGTGCAGCCGGGGCCCCACCCTGGAGCCAGGCCCGGGGTTGGGGCTCAAATGCGAGCGCCTGGTGGCCGGGCCTCCCCTCACGGG